TCATAAGGTTATAGTCAGCAAGAAGGGATAGGCTATAAAGAAACCTTTGCTCCAATCGTCGGGTTAGAATCTATCAGACTTTTAATTTCATTTGCTTGGAATAACGACATCACTCTTTATCAGATGGATGTCAAAATTACCTTTTTAAATGGTTACATTGACGAAGAAGCTTATTGCACCAACCCCTAGTTTTGAAAATACAAAACATCCAGAATATGTTTATAAACTTAAGAAATCATTATATGGTATGAAACAAGCTTATAGAGCTTAGTATAAAAGACTAAGTAACTTTCTCTTAGTAAATGATTTTACCAGAGGGAAGGTGGAGACAACTCTATTCTGTAAATCATTTTAAAATGATATTCTAATTTGTCAAATATACATAGATGATATAGTTTTGGGATCTACTAAAGCCTCCTTGGGCAAAGAATTTTCTAAGACTATGCAGGCAGAATTTGAAATGAGTTTGATGGGTGAACTCAAGTTCTTTCTGGGAATTCAAATCAATCAAACTCCAGAAGGAACCTACATACATCAAAGTAAGTATGTTAAATAACTTCTGAAGAAACTTACAATGTCAGAAAGTAAGCCATCCAAAACTCCTATGTATCCTACATGCACTCTGGAAAAGGAAGAGGTAAGTAAGAAAGTAGAACATAAGGTTTACAGAGATATGATTGGTTCTCTCTTATATTTAACAGCTTCAAGACCTGATATTCTATATAGCATTTGTATTTTTTCCAAATTCCAATTAGATCTTAGAGAATCTAACTTAACAGTAGTTAAGAAAAATTTCAAGTATCTGAAAGATACTACTAATCTTGGTCTTTGTTATAGAAAATCCAGAGAATATGATGTTGACTTTGATCGAGATAGAATAGAAATAAAAAGTACTTCTGGAAGCTTCCAGTTTCTGGGAGATAACTTAATCTCATGGTCTAGAAAAAGGCAATCCAATATTGCACTATCAATTGTTGAAGCTGAATATATAGCTGCAGCTGGATGCAGTACTCAGATGCTCTAGATGAAGAGTCAGCTTGAATATTTTCTCATTTATGAGAGTAACATTTCTATCCTCTGCAATAATACTTCTTCTATCTGTCTTTCTAAAAATACGATTTTACATTCTAGGGCTAAACATATAGAAATTAAATACCACTTCATTAGGGACTATACTCAGAAGAGAATTCCTTATTTAAAATTTATAGACACAGACCATATATGGGCTGATGTTTTCACAAAACCTCTTACTGAAGATAGATTTAATTTCATTCTGAAAAACCTCAGTATAAAATTATGCCCAGAATGAAAATGTAGTTTCTGTATATTTAATCCTCAGAATTTTTTGATTTGTTTCTGTGAACATCTGAACAATAGTTCTTCAGAAGTGAGAAGGAAAATTGTCTCAGAAACTATCCAGAAGATCTGAATGTTTTCTGAAAATGCTTCATTTCAAAGATAGACGAAAGCAATTCACCATATAAACATTTGTCAAACCAAAATGCTAAGTCACTCTCTGAGGCTGAACACGTGCTCAAAATCTGAAGGGCTGAAACGTTTGAGTTGATGCATTGAGGCGCGAGTCACATCGATAACTGTTACCAAAATCTTCGCCATCCCCTTATTAGAAATCGTTATTGTTGTTAATCATTTTGGTTATTTTATTAATTTTAATTAATTCCATATTTTCTCTCTGTTGGCTATTTATACCTCACTTTCACCAAATCACTTTCACAATTTTACTTTCACTCACTATTTTTTTCTTTGAAAATGTTTTTCTCATCTTTTCTTCTATAACCCTAAGTTTTGTGAAATGGCTTCCTATTTTCATCAGTTTGTTTGTGTTTCTAATTGTATTTTTCTCCTTTTTTAATTGCATAGCTTTTTGCTTTGATTACGTGTTTTTATTGCTTTTTGATGAATGACAAAAAATGGGAGAATGTAAGATATTTTAAATATAACAATATCGTGACTAAGTCTCAAATATTTTTCATAACATAACCTCTGTTTCACTTTTTGAAAAGCAAACAGAAAAAGTGTCTCTTGAAAGTAACTTCTTCCACATAGACTTATCAGAATTTCCATCAAAAGCTCTGATCAAACATCTTCAGGGAAGTATCTATTTTTTTCTTTATCTGAGTATTCAACTCAGGGGGAGACCCTAATGCTTTATGTTCTTACTTGTTCATCAAAATATACAATTTTTTGTCATCATAAAAAAGGGGGAGATTGTTAGAACATAGTTTGGTTCTACATCTTAGTAATAGTTTTGATGATTAAAAATACATGATATATATATGCTCTCTGATCTTTTGATGAAATGAACAGAGAAGTTCTGACAAAAGAGCATAGAAGACAATGAGAGAATTTCGTTTTGAAGTTTTGAGAAGATGAAACATACAAACTTAGAAGCAAATATGTGTAACACGCCTGAACAGTAGAAGTTGGCGAACAAAGAAGATCTGATAAGAATATCTGTACAAATTAAAGTATCATGCTCAATAGAAGAAGTTCTGATGTTATAAATTTTGAAGCACTAAACCTACAAACTAAAATCTGATGAAACAATACTCTGATAAGTGAAATTCTGGAAGAACAAAGGAAGTCTCAACGCACTCATCTATTATGAAGTTTTAAGACTCAGCACTTATGCTCAAGCTAAATTCTGAAGAACAAAGAAGCTTCAATCTGTCTGTCTCATTCATGTTCTGATCATATGAATCTCAAGAAACTCTTATGATATAAAGTCTCAACGTTAATATTCTTATTCTGATCAGATTTCAAAGAAGCAAAGTTCTGATGCGTTTCAATTCATTTATTACAAATCAAAGAGTAACGGCTGGAACCAAACAAGATATATATTTTTGAAAAGTGCATTAACAATATTTTATCAACCTTCCAAAGATAATTTCTTATGTCTCTAACGGTTCAATTCACTTCATCTATATAAAGAAGACTATGAAGAGGAATCAAACATCACTCATACATGCCAACAAGAGTGGTCAAAAACATTTTCTATTATTTTTATCTATTGAATTATCATTGTGCTTTAATCTTATGCAAACATCACAATTGTGATATAGCTTTTTAGAAGTATTTGCTAAACACATTATTTCTGTTAGAAAAGTTGTAATTCCTTGAGAAACTAAGTTGTGGCTTAATCTCAAGAAGACATTGACGGTAGTCTTTGTGAGTTGTAATTCCTTGAGAAACCAAGTTGTAGTTTGATCTCAAGAAGACGTTGACAGTTGTCTTCGTGAATTGTAATCAAGTTTTGATTAGTGGATTAAGGCCTCGATTGAGAGTGGCAAAATCACCTTGGCGGGTGGAATTGAGTAGTTCGAGTTCAAACGAACAAGGATAACCAAACGTGTCATATTATCTTTAATTTTTGAAAACCCCAATTCAAACTTCTCTTTCTTGTGTTTTTCTATCCTTCCGCTTCCAGGTAAAATTTAATTACCAAATTTTTTATTAGTATTTTTGGCTTGGTGATCTACTCACTCCCCTTATAGATAAGTCGTCTTCGTCTAACAGATTCTTGAATAGCTAAGATAATGTGATCAAAGTGAGAGGTCAACGTACACATTACCTTCTCAACTATCATCTTATCAGTTAGAGTTTCACCATAATCCTTCATGAGATGGACAAGTTTCTGCACCTTCGACACATATCCTGCAATCTTTTCGTCTTCTATCATCGACTACAATTCATATTATCGTTGCAAGGTTTGCAACTTGACAACCTTGACTTTTCACCTTCTTCATAGTACTTGAAAAGAATATCTCATGCCTCCTCCGCTGATTCAACATGAGAGATTCTATCGAAATTCACTACATCAATCGCCAATTGAATGCAATACGCAGTCTTGAAATCTTTCTTCTTCGCACCCTTATGTGTGACTTTCAGAGCATCAGTTTCATTTTCAACAAGCTCAGGGAATTCATTGTTAACCACTTCTAGGGTTTCATAGAAGTCGAACAAGGATTGCATCTGTTTTCTCCATCAGATTCAATTCTTACCGTCAAGAATTGGAAGAGAATTCGAAATACCATCTGTACCATTCATCTCTACATTGATTGATTAACAACAACCCACGATCCCGAAAACACGATCTTTGACGTGTGATTTTTGAAAACACGATCGAGAATTTAATAGGAGCTCTAGATATTAATTTGTTAGTACGTGAGACACTTTAGTTAGGAGAGAAAGAGAGAATGAGAAAATAAGGATTCTATTATTGAATTGTATAAACTGAATTACAAACTATGTCTATTTATATACAACTAATTTGTACACTAAATAGGCTAACAAACCCTAATTAAATTTGGGCTTGTATTACTCAACTTAAATTATATCTTATATCTTTTTGCAATAGTGATATCTTTCATTTATTATCCATTAACCTCCATCTTATTTGCTACTATCATGACTTCAGCATAAATTTTATCAATGCTCTCACCTCTCCATTTCTAGAGTTTCAAAATCTCTACTCAAAGCTTGAAGAATGGAGGGATTCGTCCTAAGCACTCCCTTCATATTTCTTTTTTATTAAGTCCCAAATTTTTTAGCATTGTCATTTTCAATACAGTTTCAAGCATGATTATATCAATAGATAGTTCTTCACTATGAGATTCTTCAATTTCAGCTCCTCGACCTCTTATGTTGTTTCTTTGTTACAACTACTCCTATGTATCACTTTGCTATCTGCCTTGCTGGCAACATGATTTCACTTAAGGTTTATTTTTGGATTATAATTAAGCAAATTAATTTTTAATGTGTTGTCTCTGTCTTTGATTGAAAGATGTAATTAAATAAATAAATAAATAAATAAACAATAAACGACAGTGAACACAAATTAATTGGACCACAATCTTCATAAAACAAAACACAACATACTTTGAGTTTGACATAGTCATGTAGAAAAGATAAATATTTAATTCCTACAACCAAAAAAGAAAATTCTAAGAAAGTTAAGATCAGTTAATAATCAATTACTACTAATTAACAAGCACAAGTGAACTCTGATTCTGATGATTATTATAATAATTACTCTTCTCAGCATATGAATCATAGCAGAACGTAGCTTTCATCTTTCTTATAAAATCCTCACATTTCTTGTTCAATTCCTCCGTTTCATCTTCATCAGTTATCATAGGAGCATTTTCTTCTCCTTTTGCTTCAACTATCATCAAACTATTTTCCTCTTCATCTTCTTTTGGTGTTTCAGTTTCCAAAATGTTATCACTATCAATTGGTTCTGCAATCTCTGCTTCTGTTGTGTAAGGCTCGAACTGATTGCTCTTGTCGTTGTCAAGAACATGTTCGATGCTTTCATGAGTGTTTGGTGAAGATGTATTGAATATGGTAGAACATAATGCTATAAAAGCAAGAAGGGTATTGCTTAGAAGAAACATGTAACTCTTGTCAATGGTGTAGAAGCTATAGTAGTATTGTATAAGGAATGGCTTTAAGGACTGAAAAAGTAGAGAAAACAAAACACAGAAGAGAGAAAAAGAAAGAAGAAACTTGAAAGTGCGTGATTGAAACAAATTGAAAGAGTCCATGTGTTATGTTTGTTTGAACCCTATGACATGTTTGTGTACTATATATACATGGTGTGAAAGGGAGGTATATAGAAATTTCTTGGAAAATGACTTTGTTTGCGGGGACAGTACCCCAAGTCAGTCAACTAGCTTTGAACATAGAAATCGTTATTGTTAAATAGGGAAAGGTTGATTTAACGTACACCAATTATAGTAATTGTTAAGTAATCAAACTTTAAAATAATTTATGTTCTTTTCATAAATGCATAAAAGTTATCTAAATGACCTATAAGTCACCAATATCTATTAAAATAAGAAAAACGTCGACAAAAACTCTTTAAAAATGATGGTCTTCAAAATTAAGTTTTAAATTCATAAGTCGATAATGTGTAGGAAAGTTTTTAGCATCCTATAACATCCATTAAAAAAAAATAAGGTTATGTTGAAGAATAACTTAAAATTTTAACTAATAAAGAGAAGGAATATATATTTAAGATTAATAGTCATGCACCGTCAATGAAAAATTTTACATCATTAATGCATCGTAATCATCCATAAATTTTATTTTATTAGTAATTAAAATAAAAATTAAACCTAATTTAAAATCTAACGGTTATTATTCATTAACGGTGTAAAAATTTTTTACACTATCAATGCATTTCAATTAAATTCTATATATTTTGATATTGCATAAACTAGAAATCAACCTAGAAGTCAACAAAAACGGCATAGCCGCAAGGGAGGCTTGCAATGGATCTGACTTGATGTTGTAGAGTAAGGTTGAAAGCAGAGCTAGTGTGAATCGCCAAGTGAGGTTGGCAATGGAGCTAACACTAAATGTGGTTGGAGGTGGAGTCGGCGTATTGGGAGGCCGACAATGGAGCAGACGTGCGACAGGTGGTGGCAACACAATAGTAGATACAGGTCTGACGAGAGGTTCGATATGTCGTAACTCTAGTTTGGTTTTCTCAGTTCATGTGTATTGAGCTTTGTTTTGGTTTGTGAATTCGTTCGTCAATGTGTGATATTTTTGACTTATAATAGATCTGTTGGGTTTCACAATTATAAATATGTATCTCTATCATTTGTGTCTTTACAACCTTAAGAACTTTAATGTCGAAGACAAAGGACAGAGGTGTCAATCATAATAAGGAAAAACTTAGAAAAGAAAGGATTAAGAGAAATCTTTAGGGATATCTAAGAGGATTGAAAAATACTTCTTAACATCTTGAGCTTGTGTGATTCATATATAAAGAGATGCAAAGATTGAGAAACACTTGGATATAAAATAGGATTTGTTCTTTGCAACTTGGAAGACTATTTTAATGTAGCTCATTTATAATCTTTTGTAACAACTTTTAGAAGTATACTGAATCGAAGAGTTGATCTCTGTTAGAACAATGTTTGAATCTAGTACCCTATAATTAAGTTTTGATGATAACAAAGTGAAAAGATATAGTAGTTAAAGATTTCATGATTGAATTATATGCTACTTAAAATTACTATGCTCTGACTTGCAGATATGCTGATTAAAATAAGCAAGATCACGTTCTCAGCATCAGAATATGAGTTTGCACACCAGCATCAGAAGTTGCTGAATCAGAACGTCAAGATCAGAAGATCAACGCTTGCACATGCTGAAGCTTGATGAACAGAACTGCGCGTAAAATACTCTGATACAGAATCAAATCAGTTCATCAGCAGCAAAGCAGAATCAGAATGAGCCAAGCCAGATCGTGCATTGAAGAAGCAACGGTACTGTGCATTGAAAGCTAATCAATACCAACGGCATCATTCTAGACAAGATCTGCTCAGAAAGGAAAGCTTGTAAATAGCATTGAATCAAGAATATTTGCTTCAACGTTCATCTTCTCAAAGTGCTATATAAACCAAGCTTTGAAGATTATCACGGCTAATGCTTCCAAACTCTCTACACGTAAAAAAGCTGATCAATAATCTTCACTCTACAAGTCTTGCTAAACCACCAAACTCTGATACTCTATTAGCGTTTAGCAACTTAGTATTCTAAGCTTCATTTGTGTAAACATCACAGTTGTGATATCGTTTTCATAGAAACATTCACACACATTTGATTATTCCTTTGTAAGAAAGTGTTGCCTTGACAAACCGGATTGTGGTTTGAATCAAGAAGGTTTTAGCAGTTGCTAAAACAGATTTGTATTCAGTTGAATATAGTGAATTAAGACCTCGTTGGAGAGAGGCGAAATCACCTTGAACGGGTGGACTGGAGTAGTTTGAGATCAAACGAACCAGGATAAAAATACCTTGTCATTTGCTTTAAGTTTCCAGTTTTACAATTCAACCCCCCCCCCCTTCTTGTGTTTTTCACCCCTTCAATTGGCATCAGAGCGCCTGGTTCTGAGCTAAAACACTTAACCGTGTCAGTAAAAGATCCAGCATCAGAAAAACACTATGGCAGGAAACAACTCTCATTTCAGCAATGACAACAATGAGGATAGAGACAGATTCAGCGGCAAACCTCCAGTCTTTGATGGAGAAAACTTTGACTACTGGAAAGACAGAATTGAAAGCTTCTTTCTAGCACATGATGCTGATCTGTGGGATATGGTGACAGATGGATACACGCACCCTGTTAATGCAACTGGTCAGAAGATTGATAGAAAATCAATGACTGATCAACAAAAGCGTGATTTCAAGAATCACCATAAGGCCAGAACCATCCTTCTCAGTGCTATCTCCTATACTGAGTATGAGAAGATCTCCAACAGAGACACAGCTAAGAACATCTTTGATTCTCTCAGAATGACGCATGAGGGCAACGTTCAAGTCAAGGAAACAAAGGCTCTGGCGCTGATTCAGAAGTATGAGGCGTTTAAAATGGAAGAATCTGAATCCATTGAAACTATGTTCTCTAGATTCCAGATTCTGGTAGCTGGTCTCAAAGTTCTGGACAAGGGGTACTCTACTGCTGACCATGTCAAGAAGATAATCAGAAGTTTACCCAAGCAGTGGAGGCCTATGGTTACTGCTCTGAAGCTGGCGAAAGATCTCAACAAAATCACTCTGGAGGAACTTATAAGCTCCCTCAGAAGTCATGAGATAGAGCTGGAAGCTGACGAGCCTCAGAAGCAAGGTAAGCCTATAGCTTTGAAATCTAACAGAAAATCTGAATCTAAAGTTTTGCAGGCAGTTGAAGAAACATCTGATGGATCCTCATCAGAAGAAGACGAGCTCTCTCTTCTCTCCAGAAGAGTAAATCAACTGTGGAAGCAAAGACAAAAGAAGTTCAGGAATCCCAGAAGATCTGATCATAACGAGTCTTCTTCCAGACACAGAAGGACAGATTCTTCCTCTGGATACAGAAGATTTGAAGGCTCCTCAGGTAGCAAGAAGCCAAATACAAAAGATATCATCTGCTACGAGTGCAATGAGCAAGGTCACTACAAGAGTGACTGTCCAAAGCTTCAGAGGGAAAAGCCAAAAAGGAAGTTTGGAAGAGAGAAGAAGAAAAGTCTCATGGCCACATGGGATGACTCTGACTCGTCTGAAGCTGACTCAGAATCAGATGATGAAAGGGCGAACCTAGCGCTTATGGCTAACATTCAAGATGACAGTGAAGCTTCTGACTCAGACTCAGAATCAGACACAGAAGAGGTATTCCCTAACTTCGCTGTTAATTTTACAAAGGCTGAACTTGCTGAAAGCCTAAATGAAATTCTGGAACGTTATCAGCAGATTAGAGCTAAATTCAGAGACCTGAAAAGGACTCTTGAATCTGACTCTAATAAGTCTGAGAGTCTCAGATTGGAAAACTCTGAGCTGAGAGATAAAATTTTAAAATTAGAAAACTCTTTACAAAACTCTCAGAAGGAACCAATTGCTGAAACTCCCAGCAACGCTGATGAGATCATCAAGGAGTATGATCATAGTTTCCAGAAGTTCCTTGCTAAAAGCATAGATAGAAGCAAAATGGCTTCAATGATCTATGGAGTTAGCAGAAACGGCAGGAAAGGAATAGGATACCTAGGTAAGAATCCTACACCTAAAAATGTCATGGATTTAACAATTAAGTACACTCCTCTAAATTCACACTTTGTGTATGGTCACACACATGACATCAAATATACTAGTAGCAATCACTTTGTGAAACCAAAATTCAATCAGAGTTTTGGTAAAACTAACAAAACAGGACCCAAGAAGATCTGGGTACCTAAGGATAAAATAATACATGTTGCAGATATCTTTAGCAGCAAGTCAGAAACACCAGTCATGGTACCTGGACTCTGGCTGCTCACGTCACATGACGGGAAGAAGGCATATGTTCCAAAGCCTGGAACTTAAGCCTGGAGGCCACGTTGGCTTTGGAGGCAATCAGAGGGGAAAGATAATTGGCTCTGGAACTGTAGGTAACGGAAATCTTCCCTCTATTAATAATGTTCTGCTTGTTGATGGATTGATGCATAACTTGTTATCCATAAGTCAATTAAGTGATAACGGTTATGATATAATCTTTAATCAAAAATCATGTAAAGCTGTTAGTCAGAAAGATGGGACTATCCTATTTAATGGTAAGAGGAAAAACAACATTTACAAAATCAAACTTTCTGAACTTAAGAGTCAGAACGTAAAATGTCTTCTGTCTGTTAACAACGAGCAGTGGATCTGGCACAGAAGATTGGGGCATGTTAGTATGAGAAGAATATCTCAGATTAACAAACTCAATCTGGTCAGAGGACTTCCAAATTTGAAGTTCAATTCAGATGCTCTGTGTGAAGCATGTCAGAAAGGCAAATTTGCAAAACCATCTTTTAAATCCAAAAATGTTGTTTCTACCTCTAAGCCATTAGAACTTCTGCACATTGACTTATTTGGACCAGTTAAGACTGCTTCTGTCAGTGGCAAGAAGTATGGGTTAGTAATCGTAGATGACTATAGCAGATGGACATGGGTAAAGTTCTTAAGACACAAGGACGAGTCACACTCTGTGTTTGTTACCTTCTGTAACCAAGTTCAGAATGAAAAAGATCTTAGAATCGTTA